GATCTGAATTTCATTTACAAAAATTCTCAGCTTTGAATACCAATCTTTCAATCAAACAGAAGACATTTTACCGAGTCGAGTAGGTGTTGGCTGGAAATTCCACCACCGGAGATTCATCCGTTTGATCGGAGGCGTCAAAGCTCTCCGCAACACTTCTTTGCTTCCATCACTTGCTTTCCTCATAAGCCTCTCATCGCTTGGCACCATAAACCCGTGCCGTGCGCACTTCGCCGAGCCAGGCCGTCCTGAACACGTGCAAGCCGGTCGAACCCTCAAACCCGATCCATGGCTCCTCCGTCTGTTCCGGTTTGTCTCGGATCGTCCCGGCATCTCTACACCTTCTTCTGATGGGATCCTTCTCACAACCTGCATTAGTTACTATGATTATCTCTCTTGAATCTTGATGAGGTTCTTTGACAAATTGGATTTGAGAGAGTGAATGAGTTTTGTGTCTTTATATTAATGTGGAATTAGATGAACCTAAAGAGAACAACATCTTCTTTCTGTAATGGAGAGGTTGGTCTGATTTTCAAATTCTTAATGCTTTCATTTGTCAAAGTTTGAATGTTTGACCAAATCCAACACACCAACAGGTCAACGCCGAATCATTTGAAGAATACACAGAGAAAAGTCTTACCAACTGAAACATGCTTTTTTGCCAAACAAATTCCATATTATTCAATTTATTTTTCAGCTTACAGTGTGGGTTTTTGGGTCCAAAAAAATATACTACACTTTAGATGATACTAATATTAGAGGTCCATATAATTTTTAATAATTGGCATTGTCGTTAGTATCAGACTGGATAAATAAATGGGCTTTCTGCACAACTTGGATCTCTCTAAATTTGTTTATTTTCCCTTGTACCACCATTTTGTGGGTCATATCTCCCGAAAGCACGAAATGGATCGGAAATCGGGACTAGAGAAGCTGACACACAAACAGCAGGACTTGCCTGGATTGTCTGCAACCATGAAGATCAATTCATCGATCAAGGATCCACAACTAAACCTACACTTCCTCACCTCTAATGGCAAAAGCTCTAGCAATATGTGAGGCCATCTTTTGCATGCTGCAATCAAGGGTTTGCGGAACTTTCGATTAGCTTAGAGTTTGATCCGACTAATCAATCTAAAAAATCAGAACATTGAGATTTATGGAATCCTCCAAAATATCTCATTTCTATATCTCGATCTAAATGTATTAGCATGTTCAAAGGAAGAAAAACTCAGAAGCCGATAGGTTAGCAAAATCGGTCATCAATTATATATCGGTTCAACCCGGTTTAGATCCGATTTAATGAAATTTAACTTTTCGACCAAAAAAAAATCTCCTCAAGATGTAACCCTAGTCTTAGAAAAAAAACAGTAAACAAAAAATCATTCGGATTCAAATTCTTGTTAAAAGACAGACGTTCATGATGAATCCATCATGAAAATGTAATGATGACACAAAGATGATAATAACATCAATTGTGAATAAAAAAAGGTGTTATTATCCCATACAAATAATAAATGTATCATATAATAAATAGATTTTGGAGGGTTTCTAAAAATTAACCCCTTTCGTAATCAAAGGGATCGTCATGTAGCCAAATAGAGAGTTGAAGACAGCGTTAGTTCATATTCCCCGATCTGTCCATATTTCATCTCTGCGTTACCTCTCCACCAACCAACCCTTTTTTACCTTCATTCAA